GTGTGTGTGTGTGTGTGTGTGTGTGTGTGTGCGTGTGTGTGTGCGTGTGTGTGAGCGCGCACGCGTGCGCGAAAGTACAACTGTGTTCTTAGTGTAAATTTTACTAATCAATATCCATACAAAATAACAGCTCACTATTCTGTCTATTCGTGTTCCCTTTGAGAAGCATTTCGATGTCCCAAAACGTTTAAAAATCAGACAACTAACGGACAACAGAAATAGAGCCGATCATGCCTTTGTGATAGTCGCGCAGAATACGCTGTACGAAGGCTGTACCAGAAGTGAGTTTCTCTGTTCTGTAAAATCAACTGTTTTATTTGTTTGTTTTTTGTTTTTTTACAGACAAGAAAGTTGTACTTACCTTCAGAAATATGTTTTCTATTCAGCAACTATTGGTCTCAATGCTCTATTTCAACGGGTATAGCCAGTGGTCAGACTCAGTGACCATGTCTATTTCGGCACGTGAGTCCAGGAGATTGGTGAGTTTTCGAGCAGTATGCGTGTTGTCATGATGGAAGACACCTTGCTTGAGCAGACCCGGCCACTTTCTTCTGACTGGTGGTCTCAGCTTATTTGAAGAACTATCTTGTAATAGTCGACGACGTTGACTATTTTGCTTACGGGAATCGGCCGGTTCAAAACCACACTTTTATAAATGAAGAACGTGAAAGGTGCTTTGCGTCGAGCTTTCTGGGGTCTTGGCGACCCTGCTTTCTCCATTCTACTGAGGGCATTTTCAGTTCAGGGTCGACGAATACCTTTATTTTTTAATCACCTGTACTGTAATGATTCTTGTAAAATAATCTGCCCCTTTATTCCAAGCAATTGTCATTTCTTCACCAAAATCAAAGAAGGACTAAGAGTCGAGGGCATCGATTTTGAAGATGAAGAAAAGACATTGTGCTCGAAGCAAAATGCTTAGCTATGTCTTCTTCTTCTTCTCGATCGCATCACACTTAAAGTCTGGTATCTGTCATAAATTGGGCCGTCCTGCTCAATTCATCTGTCTGCTTAGCTATGGACTCTGGCCGAAGCAGACATGATCACTGCGCTTGACCGCTAGCTACATCGAATGAAAATGTATCTTGAGATCAACGGTTATTATGTTAAATAGAAAACATATTTCTGAAGGCATTTACAAAATTTCTTGTCTGAAGAATAAAAATGGTTGAGTTTACAGAACAGGAAAACTTACTTCTGGGACAGACCTAGTAATGTCATTTTAAAGGGCGCTCACTATCTATCTGTACTATATAACTCTGTGCAGAATAAATCAACTCTTTTGTTTTAGTTATTAGCAGAACGTTAAAGATTTCAAATACGTTATATAAATACTTCTGTTGTATCAGATAAGAAAAATGAACAAAAGCAGAGGGTACAAACACACACCAGTGGATGGTTGGTGGGTGTTCTAGATAGTTTGATCCTTCTTGCCTATCAAACATTGATCGTTCATATTTACCTCTTTTCTGCATTAAATACTCTCCAGTAACGCATCTAATCTCCGCTCTCTTAGGAAGTTGTGACTAATGAAAGTGAAAGTTTTTTTATATTTCGATCTTTCAATGAAATTTTAATTAATGTACACATTTTAGTAAAATAAAAAAAGAACACTGAAAGAAGGAAGAATACCTAAGAAAGAATGCAAGTGCCGTAAAACTCCCATTAAAAGGGAAACTCACGTTCTGGAACTCAAAACCTTGTTTAGCCAGTTCACACTTCTTATTCTCTAAGACACATTCAGTGGGGAAGGTCTTGATAAAGGTGGCACAAACCGGCGCGTACTCTTTTGTACACGCTTGTTGTGGGAGAGAGTCACACGTAGCACTCATGGCTCCACCCACACAGACAGCAACAACCAATGCAAACACCGCCCACTTCATCGTACCTGGTAAAGATCTGTTCGATTCACTTTGAATTTTGAGAACAGAAGGCAATTCATACTTGTGTAAGAACAAGAAGGAAATACAAAAGGAAAGACAATGTGAACAATTTAGTCCGAATAAAGCATAGACTACACCAAGAAATCCTTCCAAGGAAGCTCGTTAACTCTAGAAACAATATTGTAGATCAACATAATTTCATAAATTATTCAAAAACCCTATTGCTTCCTCATTTTGACAAACATTGTTATTTTTTTTTCTGCCACTGGCGTCAATTTAACCTGGAGTACCAGCCTGTTAAATCTATCTCTGATACTGAAATGATTAACATCGATGAGCCATACATATTGGTAGGGTCCATTAGAGTTATGTTGGAGGGAGAGCGAAAACTAGGTATGACTGATCATAAACTAGGTATGTATCAAGGAGTTTTAATCTCCTTGGTATGTATTCAGCAAAAGAGCGTCCCTCGACGAGAACTCGTTTTCCGCCCATATAGGCCTGCCTAGTACCTCTATTCCTTTGTCCCTCCCCTTATATTATAAGTAACAAGGAACACAGGCAGATGGAACATTTAATTTTTACTCTCACTTCCGCTCACACATGCTCTGCATTTGGGGGTCGAAAGGCTGTATTTGTTGCTGCAGATCGCGCATATAATAATGGCCACTAAAATTATCGCAAACCGATTATTTTCAAGAAATTTGCATGCTACTGGTGCCAACAAAAATCCATCTCGTGGAAGTACGGAAGAGGTTCTAAACTTTGAAACGGCTAATTGAGAGTTTATGTGGCTTCCGTTAAATTAATAAAGCATGTTGACGAATGAGGATCCAACCTCTTTGGGATTCAACAAAATTAAATTAATTGAGAGCCTACCCAACACCTTTGTAGCCAATTTATTATGCATTGTATATCATGAACTAAGCTATGCTGAACACGTTTGCATATCAAACCCTATTTATATTATTTTAATTGAAGGCAAAACGGCGCACCTGCAGCTGAAAAGAAACACAATGGTTTCTGTACATCTATGGCTGTGGGGCTCAATTCAAAACTAGGGCCTGTTCTGTATTCAACGACCCGACAATCTTTGTAACCCTTTCTCTTGCTTTAAAAAATCGTTTACCAAAAAGAACAATAAATGTAGACGCCACTATTGTGTCAGGAACCGTAAGGGTGTATTCAGCAACGCAAAGATAGCTCGGGGTAATGTCTGGCTTTATGGCCAGTGTCGGCTACGCTCAAAGGACAGCTTGCGGGATTAACACATTCTTTTGCTCACTCGAAACCCAACCACAGATTTGCTTGTATATCTCCGGAACCCGTGAAAGACTCACCACAAGTAGGAAAGTCACTGGTAAAATAAGACTGTGTTATAAAAATGAAAACCCAATCCTTCCATTATTTTAGTAAAATTGAGGAATCCACAACTCGGAAAGGGATAATAGACAGACGTCTTCCGTCCGCTCGTTGTCTAAATATCGTACTCTATGTAATTCTTTTTAAAGTAAAAAAGAGGGGGGGGGGAGGGGCGCATAATAAGATAAACAGTTATCTAGATATTATATAACTATAACAAGAATGAAACTGCAAAAGCAACAAAACAACTACTTAGCAATAACAACAACTACGGCAATAACGACAACAGCAGCAACAACAATAACAACAGTTTCTATACAACATTAAAAGCAATAGCCTACGACAATCCCATGGAATGAAGAATACGAACCCGCAGCAATTGTATCTTATAAGTTAGTCAAGTTTTTTTTTAAGGCACGAGGAAACTTCCCAAAATGCCGACTCTTTTATATAGCCTACCCCATTGAAGCTATTTTTCTGGTTCAGTTTGGTATTTCGACTAATTATGACAGAATGGCACCCACAAAGCCAGTTAATGTGGCAAACTTGGTATGGAAAATATAGATTGTAGTAGGTGGCATCCAATTAGACACATAACGAGTGTACGGATAAGTACATGATTGAGCTAACGGCCACTGATGACCTCTGCTCCGGGTAAGTGTCTCTGCAATCTGAGATGTGAGAGAAGCACTGATATCAGAGGACGTTTAATGTGATCTCTATCAAAAGTTGTTTGGGTTGGCCAGGACATCTGTCGTCCTTTTCGGCCATCATTTTAGGTGTGTGCGAACTTGTTACCTTGATCATCTAACAATTCGGTCCTTTGTGTTTAACAGTTAGTGCATGGAATCAGTCATTTTGTTTTGTCTTTGTTCAGAAAAATGGTTATTTTGGGTAGGGAATAGTCCGCTGTTAGGTAAGCGCTTGTCGTTATTTTAGTTTTAGATAGGAACAATTCCTCATCTCATGTAACAATAACAAAGCCCACCCCCACCCCAACACTTTTCCCTTACTCTTCCCCACCCCCTCTCTCTCTTTCTCTCTCCCTTTCTCTCTCCCTTTACCTCTCTGCCCCCTCTCTTTCTCTCTCTAACCCCCCCCCCCCCACACCCACACAAACACAATTATAGGCCGTACTCACATACACATACAGAAACAGATGGATAGACAGGCAAACAGACAGATAAATAAATCGACAAACAGTCAGACACAAGGACACACGGATGGACAGATAAGGAAAGAGAAACAGAAACAAATCATAACCAAAGACAATATACATGCATCATATTAATGCATAGCCATAATTTGTACAAAACAGGCCAAAGTTGAAGTGTATAAAGTCATACTGCTATGTACGAGTAATTTACACACGTTTTCGTGTTATTGTTACAAATAAAAACTTTCCTAACACAAATTTGACAGCAGCAAGCATCATGTCTAAAACTGTTGAGCAATCAGAGATTGGTTTGCCATAACCAATTTACCTTTTCTAGTTGTCTGTACCCTTTACTTACATTTTAGGCGCAGTCTTTATGTGGACACTGACGTCCATGGCGACATCTGTGGGGATGAAGCTTCTGTCGTCGATTATCAACAGCTCATTTACAACGAGTTCACCAACAATGATAACTGAGGATAAAACATTGGGTCCTTTGGTCGCAACTGGTATAATTAGTAGTATAGTCATTAAGTCGAGTGTAATCCCGTTTGGTTGTGTGGGGACTATTGCCCTCTATTAGAGTAGGCAATGGTGGGGACACGTTATAACCTTAGAGAAAGTACCATATTATGGTACACAAGATTGCAGTCGTATTTTCTTAATTCCTTGGACTCCTGCTCTACTGTCTTGCTCTTGTAAAAGAACGAGGGAGTTTAAAAAATAAATTATGATGTGTTCTATGATGCACAAATACACATTATGGTTGCTTTTAGGAAGTTGTTACATTTTGCATCTCACCCTCATTAGGTTGGAAAATTAAAAAACGTGATGTTTCTCGAATACGTCGAGTGATTTTCTTGATATTGACAAAACTGCTGTGGTCTTTAGGTTGAATTTTATTTTTCGAAGTTTTGATGAAATTGGGGCCAAGATGTTCTTAAAATGAGTCCTCTTAGGAACATTTAATTTAATACTCCTTTTTTAGAGTAAAGCACCGGAATTTTAAATCTTTATTGAAACAAAATTATTCAGAACTAGCTAAATTAGATCCTTTATTCAAATTAAACTTTGCTAATCAAGCTTTATTCAAATAAACAGACACAAATTTTAGAACCCTAAACTGAACAAGCAAAACTGAATATTCTATCTTCATATCATATAATGTCCTTCTTCAGGTGTCAGGTCTGGAACAGACACTGACGATCGTGGTATCCACTCCTTACTTTTGTCTGTCTTTTTTGATCAGCTCAGTTTTTCTCCTTGTTATTTATTTTTAAAAGTTGTTCCGGCCATCATTATGTGTATTACTATGTTTTCCTTTGTCTCCATACCTCTGCTCCTCATTCCCTCTTTCTTTCGACAAAGCAGAAGTTTTTCAATTCAATTTGATTTATTTATGTAACCAAAGTATCTCCATTGTCTTTTTCTGAAGGTTCTGATTGATCTTCCCCATTCTGTCATTGAAAGCACTTATTTTATTTTCCTCACTGTTCCTGTGATTATGAATAACGGCGGCTTCAGTTTTCTTTCGCCGAGTCCTTGTTTTAGAGTCCAATTCTCGCTTCCATACAAAAGGACTGAGCACACGTACGCGTTCAGGGTTTTTATTTTTATGTTCTCTGTTATGTTTCTGTTTGAGAAGACAGATGGCATCTTGTGAAAGGTTTCTGTGAATATAATTTCAATTCTCTTTTTAAAAATCTCTGTGTCATTTTTTTTCATATATTGTAATTGTACAACCAAGGCATTTGAAGCCGTTAAACCGTTTTATGCAGTCGTTCTTACATGCGACGCTGGACTCTGGGATGTCAGTACTTTTTGAGATCACCACACATTTCGTTTGTTGTTTTTTTGACGTTCAGTAGTAGCCACTCTTTTTTGCCTTTCTCTGTCCCTCTTTTGGATTCGTCTGGAACTGAAACTCAGAATCAGCTATCAGGTACTGTTTCGTGATGGTAACCTTGGCTGTTAATATCGTGGCCGCCTACCTTGACTTCTTCCAGATCACTGATGTTACGAAGTATCCTTTCGTTTTATAAATTAAGGAGATCTGCTGATCTCTGGATAAAACTATACGGTTTGTCTCCAGGTGACTTGTAGTGTGTTTCATATGTTATTGGCTCAATTCATTTTAACTTTTCTCCACGAACGCATACACACATACATACAATCATACACACACCTGATCACGCACACGCCACACACACACACACACACACACACACACACACACACACACACACACACACACACACACACACACACACATACACACATATGCCCGCAAATTTTACACTCACATGTGCACATGCATACACACTCACACAAAAATACATTTGCACATACCGGTACACACAGACACTCACACACAAGCATGCACACGCACGCACACACACGCACACACATACACACTTGTAAAAACTCACATAACACACTCATATATACACACACTCACACACTCACTCACACATACATACAAATACACACACAACTAAGCCTTAAAAATTTCAACAACAAATCAAACCTTATGGGCTTAAGACTTTTTACCTTCTCCCACAAAACTCAAAAACATAGAACAGAACTACAATTACAAGGCCTGAGTTTCATCAGAAACTGAAATAAATTGTCCCGGGCCGTGCGCTGAACTAACGAAAGTCTTGTGAACAAAACAGTTGGTGAGTATACAACAGGACCACATGAGCGTTTCTGAGTTTCTGTGACGGAAAGGGCTCCCATGCAATACAGCGAGTGCTCGAGTATATAAGATGGGGGGTATGAGAGGTCTGTCATCAATTCTTGGGTTGGTCTTCAAGAAATCTGACAGAAAATTCATATCAAAATCTTCATAGAAAAAAGAGAAACACTGGATATGGGTGAGAAACTTCTTGTTTGGCGTCTGATTTTGTTACTAGTCTAGTTACATGTACAAGATTTCCCTCTCGCTCTGGCGTTTTCATCTTCCTCCACCCGTTGTTCTCTCTCTCTCTCTCTCTCTCTCTCTCTCTCTCTCTCTCTCTCTCTCTCTTTCTAAAGAGGAGTTAAAAGAAAAAAGAAAGTTGTAATTCAAATTTCCACACAAGAACCCCTCAGAGTCAAAGACAGAGGAGATGATTTACTTATCTTTTAACTTTAGAAAAGGAAAACCAACAGTCCTAGATCTAGCTCTTGTAACTGAACAAGACTTTTACTTTGTCTTTTATGCGCCGCTTATAGCCTTTTGGGTGTCGCGGGAAGAAAGAGACGTCTTTCGGCTTGGGCCAGGGGGATGCCATGAGTTGTTATTGTTAGTGTTTCCCTGACTCCACCTATCCAGGTCTTTCCCGGTCGCCCTCTAGATGTAGTCTTGTTGCCATTAAATGTCTTTGATGTAGGCACGTTGTGCTGGATGGTGTGTTGGTAATCGCATGGGATGTCCAAACCATAATTTGATTCTTTGGTGTTGGGTGTGATGCATGACATCATTTCTGAGTTTCATGTCGTAGTTGTTACATTCTTCGTTTAATCTGTTGGTGTGGTGTGGGAGACTTTGTTCATCTTTGTGTTTCTTTGTATAAATAACCTGATCTCATCACTGACAGCAATTGACCTATCATAAAAACCAGGAAAAAACAACCAACAAACAAACAAACATGTTGATAAGGCAAACATCAAGTACAATAATTGGTAGAGACCTATTAACTTGGGATCTCTGTACAAAACAATGCTCCTAAGGTGTGTAAATAATGTGAAATGATCTTATCCACCCATTGACATTGGAAAGTCAGAACAGACAGAAATAGGAATGCGTTCGTATCAACAGAGAACACAGGAAGAAGAAGAAGAAGAAGAAGAAGAAGAAGAAGAGAGAGAGGAGAGAGAGAGGAGGAGGAGGAGGAGGAGGAGGAGGAGGAGGAGGAGAGAGAGAGAGAGGGAGAGAGAGAGAGAGAGAGAGAGAGAGAGAGAGAGAGAGAGAGAGAGAGAGAGAGAGAGAGAGAGAGAGAGAGAGAGGTAGAGAGAGATAAATTTAACTCCGAGATGAATAAAGATGGTCATTGTCGTTGTAATAAATATAATAATATGCACATAACATAGTACACATTTTAGTAAATACAGTTACATATGCAATTGATGAATACCTTTTTCCTAAAACAAACGTGACAGTATAGGCCTAACATAATTTAGGGAAAAGATTAAGTTTTTAGACTGCACTTCGTCAGGGCAGACTAATATGCCATTGAGCTTAGACATTGGCTCTTCAGGTGTCTGAAGTGTGACGCTCTCTGCCAAAAGTTGCTCTCGTATTCCATTGCATAGTGGGCATCTGAACAATAGCTGCTCTACGTGAAATTCGTTTTCTACGTATTTTTCATTGCACAATACTCAACTGGAACAGATTATTTTTTAGCGGCAATCTGAAAGTTCTGAGTAATGCCATGACCCTTCTACCTCTTGCAGAGAGGGTGAATGAGAGGTACGGAGCAGGGCTAAACGTAGGATGGAGGTCCAGGTAGCCTACTCAAAGCAGGCTGTCTTCTAAATGATCCGAATTTTGTTGAGGTTCATGTACACAAAAATGACGTCACGTTTGTAAATTCCTCTGTTTCTTAGACTTGCCCCAAGAAACTCTTCTTCCAAAAGTAATCTACTTAGGATAAACGTACCATGGTATCGGACAAGCAAACCACAATAAATTTGAAAATAGGTCAAATTTACATCATTATATATTATATAATATATAACACATATATACATTATTATTATATAATTTCATTTTGTAAATATTTTTGTCCCCCAGCGCCTACAATTGCGAGCGGTAGACTACACGTCATCTGTCTCTGTGTTCTCGTCTTTCTGATGGCGGGGCAGTGCAGGGCAGGTAACTGGGCAGCTGTTTTTGTTTTAGAATAGTTTGTAAGATTAACTCCCTTGAACCGATCATTCTTGTTTTCACTTTCAGTGTCTTTGAAAAGCCAACGTTTGAGGGGTTGAGGGGTTGTTGTTGTTGTTATTATTGTTGTTGACGATGATGATGATGATGATGATGATGATGTGTACCGACTTAACCTTTAAACTCGCAATGAGACTTTCATGTTTGCATCCTCCTTTCCCTCATCTATCTGTCTATCGATCTATCGATCTATCTATCTATCTATCTATCTATCTATCTATCTATCTATCTATCTATCTATCTTTTCTTTTGCATATTTGTAAAAATAATTATTTTTAAGGTTATTTAAACAAATGTGGAAGAGGAGATTAAAATAAAACCTTTGTCCCCCCACCCCTCCTCCCCAAATCACCCCACCCTCCTTTTTTCTCGTGGGACGTTTTTCTTATTTGTTACCCCAGACACTCTCCCATCAACCCAATTTGTGGTGAAACAAAGCGACGTAAAAATTCAAGACCTTCAGCCTGATGAAGCCTCTGGTATTGCCGTAAGCCATAAACACAAGAACGTCGTGTATTCCTTCAACGACAGCGGCGACAAAAACAGGTGAGGGGGAAAACAGGTAAAAGGGACAATTACAGGTGAAGGGGACAAAAATATGTGAGAGAGGGACAATTACAGATAATAAAGGGACAATTACAGGTGTGGGGAACAAAACTAGATGAGGGAGGGACAATTACAGGTGAGGGGAACAAAACTAGATGAGGGAGGGACAATTACAGGTGTGGGGAACAAAACTAGATGAGAGAGGGACAATTACAGGTGTGGGGAACAAAACTAGATGAGGGAGGGAGAATTACAGGTGAGGGGGTAAAACAGGTGATAGGGAAAAAAATAACGAAAGATGAGCCTTAGAAGGAGGCACAAAAACAGTAGAGGGAGGGACAATACAGGTGAGAAGGACAATAACAAGCGAGAGGGCCAAAAAAAAAAAGAAGAAAAGCAGGTGAGAAGAGAAAACATAAAAAAATAACAACACAAAGCAGATGAGAGGGACACAAAAAACCCATGAGGGGGAAGGAATGTTAAAAACTTGAAGACTCGTATCTTCAACTCTCTGTGACTTTATTGTTATTGTTTGTAGAATCCGATGTCAGACAATAATAATCAACCTACAGTTGAACGGAAATGAGGTCAGGAGTCTACATGCTCTTAAAATTGACGCTCTTTTAACATCTAGTTTGTTACGATGCCTGTTTTCCACTGGACTCTTCATTTATAAAGTGAAACAGAAAAAAACTAAAACAAAATAATACAAAACCCACGCACACATCCATAGGACGAACGGCTACTTCTCTGTTATTAACAACAACGACATCATCAACAAGTGGGTGGCAGGTGGATGATCTGATATGATTTGCTCTTGCTTTCCTATTAAACATCTACCTTACTTATCTGTCCTCCTTCTTTTTTGTGTTTGTTGCTCTCTTGTAACAGCTCTAATCTTCCGCACTTATATGACCTAATTGTATTGCAAGTGCCATAAAATGTTACTTAAACAAAAACATCAACAAGTAGATCTGTATTACTTACAAAATGACCTTCCAGCTTAATACAACTACCATGTATATAAATTAAGTTGTCAGTGACTGTTTGATCGTCAAGTTTCAAAGAAGAGAAAGAAAGACGAGCATCGACCCAAGAAGGAAATGTACTAAAATACAGCACAAAAAGAATTTTAAAAAAGAAAATAAGCGTGATGTAACGCATAGCTCAACGATATTTTCTTTCATTCTGCATTCCTACTTCCTTCTTCCTCAGAATCTACGCTATCAACGCCACTAACGGGAAATCGGTGGGTGTCTTCACGTTTGGAAACTTTACACCCTACGATATGGAAGACATTTCAGTGGCACCCTGTACTAACGGTAGGCGTGCAAATACATGTACCGTGTTGCTGGAATGTTTATCGTTAGGAATTTTTGAGTGAAAATAATTTTGCCTATAGTCGTGGGGACGTGTCAATTTGTGGATTATTGGAGTAGATCTGGGTGACCAAGCTCAGTATAGCATGGTTTCAACAGCCCTTTCAATGCTGTAAGCTTGTTTATTTTAAGAGGCAAAATCCATCTGTCATAGGAACACACCAGGTTATTGAAAGCTCAAAATGATAATGAAATGAAAAAGATCTTAAATGTGTCTTTTTAGAATTCAAGGAGAAAGTGAACAAAAGTATACCCAAGAATCCATGACATTATGAGCAATGTCCCGAGAGAGGAAGCTATAATGCGGTCAAAAATTCGTGGCGCAACTTATCCTCAAATAACTCTTTAATGGGTGAATCAATGTCACCCATACTTTGCTCAGCAGTTTGTATCAATTTGTCTTAACTTAATCATATTTTTCCACGACAATTGAGGCTAGATTTTAAAAAACCAACACACTTTTCTTCATATTAAATTTACATAAAATACAAAAAATCTCCCTCACACTGAAAATGGGATTATTCACAACACTTTCCGTTTCTCATGCACAATTTGCATAGGCATATGGCCTACGTCCCAGCTCGCCAATTATATTTTTTAGTTGTAAAACTTGTTACAAGAAATTGATTTTATAGTGAACATATTTTTTAAAAACTAAAAGTTCTTAAAATATGTGCTCTATAAGCATAATGTCGCGATTAGAAAAAAAAAGACGGACTTACTTTCGAAAGCGATAATGTGCCTGCTGTAAACCTTTAAAATCAGTATAAACCATCCACTTGGCTTATTTATTTAGCGTTTATTAAGGAATTTTCTAGAACACAGAACAAATGTTTACAAACAATATTGATCTCTTAAGACACATGTGAGGCAGCGTGGTAGAATCAGGCTCTCGTCAATTTTTGGGCATGTCGAGTTATTGGTATCACCTTAAAGCTTGTTCACTTGTCTATATTTGGATGAAAAAATGTACATT